AACTAAACAGTAAATTACCATTTCTGATTTTTATAATGAGTAGTTTCTGGTGAAATTAAGGCAAACTTCTTCTCTAGATACAAGCTTCGCAATGTCTTAGTGCAGAGGATGGAGAAGGTTGGCTCTTGGGAAGAAGAGATGGAAGAGCACACAATGAACGTTTCTACTTCTTTTGAACAGTGCATCTGATAGCAAGATCTTGACCTAAGCCTAATGATTAAAAAAAGGAGCAGCTTTGCAGAAATACATGCACATTTATGGTTACAGTTGTGCTGAAGTACTTTCCTGAATCCAGTTTCTTTACATCCAAACAGCATAAGAAATCTCTTAATGTTGATCTTCAGAGCTTATGTTGGATATTTATCAGCAACTCCCACATAAGTTGCTCTTCATTATAACTGTACTGGGTATTTTAGTGACAAGTTTAACAAAAACAGTCTTTAAATTGAAAATACAGATTGCTGTGTTTCCCCAGAAAATCCATTGCTTTCCATTAGTACTGAAGATATAATATTTTGTACTGTGGGGGTTTTTTGTGCTTTTGCATTCTTTTCAACTTTCTGACTCTTTGTCAAAACAGAAACTATGAAGAGCAAATGGTTTGATTCTGTAAGGTGTGAGATAGTTTCCAAAGGAGCCAGAGGCTGATTGCTTTTTGTAATGATACGTAGTCATTTCAAACTTAGCAGTGCTGGCTTCTGGGACAACTTTAAAAAAATGCTGAGAGAGTCGTATGTATTTAATGAGATGCTGTCTGCCTTCCTCTCAAGGACGGGGAAGGGAAAAAGCCGTTGAGATTTCCCATAATTCAGGCAACTGATAAGTATGTTTACTTCCTTGCCAAAGACAGGCTCAGTTACAGAAAAACCACGCACCTGAAGGTGGGAGATACAGGAAGGGAACAGAAGACATAGACTTTTCAGGTTTATTATGTTATGATCACACACCAAGAGAAGATACAGTCAATATACAGTGAGTGCCTTCTCTTTAGGGTGTAAAGTGCCTTCTGTTCTTACACTTTGATAGTATTGTCCACATTGTAAGTGCAATTTGTGGTACTAAGAAGAGGAAGAAAAAAACAGTAAAAAAACTCCAACCTAAGTGTGAGTCTAGGACATCTGTTTACTAGATTTTTCCCCTCCTGTGAGTCCCCTTGAGTTTTCAGCTATGGGACCACTAGTAGATCTATGCATAACAAAGTTATAAAGGAAGTGAAAAATCCCACCCAAACCCAGAGTTAACATTCAGTTATGGATTTGGGGTTTCATTTATTTGATCTTCAGATGTCAAAACTATGTTTTTAATGTGACATACGACTGCAGTAACAGCACTGTAGTTTATGGTACTGTCAGGTAAAACTGGCATTTTTCCTTCAGAGGATCCCCATGGACAATGCAAGTGCTAAAGTAAGCAAGATAATAGGCAATAATTTTATCAGACCAACTGATACAATCAGAGAAAACAGAGAGAATCATTCCTTCATGATATCATTGAATCTAAGATTAAAGTTTTCTTCAGGTGAAATAGCATTGACCATAGGAGTCATTTAGTAATACATATATAAGTGTTAGATACATCGTGCAATGAACTGGAAATTAGTTTTCTTGATTAATATCTTTACAAGGATAAGGCTTTGCAAGGCACTTCTTAAATACTTGAATGTTATGAAATCTGTGCTGAATCTCTGGAATTGACTGGTCTGACCATTTAAAGTTATGACAGTACCATCCATGACGTGCCTTTCATGAAGGCATATTTGTCTGTGGGGCATTGAGGTGTGACATACATTCAGAGAAGATAAGCAGTGATATTGTAAGTCTTTTTTCCATGCTTCTGTTGTAAGGGAAGACAGGAAGAACATTTTGTGTTCTTTTCTTGCATTATGTGAGAAAACCGTGTTTAACCAACAAGCCACATTGTGTGGTCTTTTCCTTTAGAAGGAACATGGAAATTCATAGACCTGTCAATTACAGATCTTGAGGAGAGTGACCTTTCTCTTAACTGGTTTGAACAGCTTGTCATCTCTCACCAACTCCATAGAAAATGTGTCTGCAGGCTTCCTGATGTTTTAATCCCTGCTGTTTGTTTAATTCTGCAGATGAGGGGCAGTAGGGTGTTTTCTGTAGTGATGTATGCTCTGAAATAATCCCCATGCCAAGACAGATACCGCTGCTCAGAGCTACCATTTGGTGTGCAAAACTCTACTGTCTTACCTTTCCAATATCCTCATCTGATATTACTGTACAGAGCAAAATCCTCATACAGAAAGAAATAATACTGCTTCAGTGGGCATTTTTTATTATTTCCTGCAATTCTCTGACTTCCAGTTAATTTTGTTTAGGACTGTATCATTTAATACAAAATTAGCAAAGGCAACAGTCTACTGCTGTTGCCTCTTTAAAGGCCTCCCAGAATCAGGAATAGATTCTGATTTAGCCTGGCTCTTCCTGAAAATGCGGTTAGCTGGTTGATTTGTGGAGGCAAGTGGCTTCTGGGGGCAGGTGGCTTCTGTATGAAATGAAACTTTGACTGTACTAAAGAATACAGTGAAGTGGATGATGGTGGGATGTTTTATTGGCTTCAGTCCTGAATTACATAGTTTTTCCAAAGCAGCTAAGCATTTCTTTCAGTTGTGTTAGACTACACATATTAACCAATTCTGTAAATTTCTCAAGGCTCTAATTATTTCCTTTTGATTTTTTTTTCTGAAGCAGTTCTTTTACCTGCCTTCTTAGTAGTATTGGTTTTTGGCATCCCAGATTGATTTTGAGTTAATTTAACTATCTTTGAAATAATGGAAACCTGATTCATCTCTGATCTATCTGTTGAGTGGAATCCTTAATAGATACCTGGTCAAGAGGAGGTTTAAGTCGGATGTCTCACATCAAATCTGAAAGGATTTGAGAGATATTTGCAAATCTATAATAGCAAAAAAATTACTCTGTGCAATGCCATTCGTATTATACAGAATTCATAAGTGAAGTACAACACAATACATGCTTTCCTTACATTGAAGACACAATATTTTGTTCTTTACTGTGGACTTCTCCTGCTATTTTTATGACACACAGCACTTAAGAGTGAATATTTTAGCTGATAGGATGCCAGAAATTGTTTTAGGCATGTTGTCATTGTAGCTTTAGTCTGCATGCCTTTTCTGCTTCATCTTGTTTGGCATCCCTTTCAAAGAGAAAATGAAAATGTGCTCTGAGTCTAATAACAATGTTTACAAAACATGGTTTTCTTGAGCTTTCTGGGGAAAGAAGGGTCATGTATTTACCCAAACCAATTGATTTATTTTGTCTTTGCAATTTTATGTTGTATATATGGAAAAAAATCAACATTATAGATGAAAATATTGCAGCCTTCTTGAAAAGTTGTCATGAAAAGCAGGAACACTTAGTCTTGATAGTAATTTCTTCGTGTTCCCTGTGCAATTTTCTGACCGAGAAGTTTTCAATAGGTGATAAATTTACTGTGAAAGAACACTGCTAATTGAGTCATTATGTTGTTTCACCTTCTGGGTATCACATTAGAAGTTACTAAATGTTAATGAGTTTAGGTAAATATTTGTAATTTAAACAGTAGTTTGGAAGTTTACATTGCCTTGTCTTTTCATCAAGCTGTAAAATTGAAATCTGTCCTGTGTAGTTCCCATTGCCTTTGTGTAAGACCTTGTTTAGAGAAGTCTGCAGAGAATGTTGAGAAGAAAACATGGTCTGATTAAAAATTAGGTTAAAGACTTAGGTTTTATGCTGAGCTCTGTTCACATTTTGTTTTTAATCCGTCCTGAATGAAATCCTGGCATCATTGAAATCGGTGGGAGTCATAAGAACTGACCGCAAGAAAGCAAACGTTTTACTTCTCTGCATTAGTTTCTCCATTTGTAAATTTGGCTGATTTTCACCTTCCACTCAGCACGTGCTAGAGTTTTTAATAAGTTACTTGAAGATTCTGTGGTAACTTAAGAGACCAAACTGTCGACTTGTAAACAATAGATTTATTAGTCTTTTAAGTTCCTATTCTTCATGTTTATTCTGGTCTCTTCAAAATGAAAATTAATACAAATAAAGATGCACTTGTTGCAAAACTGTCTTGAGTTACCTGACGGATATTTGTATGACAGCAACAACAGAATCTGTTGCAGAATTTACCTCCTTGCTGTTGTTCCATTTCATGGTGAAACAGTTTTTCTCAGGGAGCTGCAGCTTTAAATAATAATAATTTAAAGTTAATTCCTTTATTTGAATTCTGTTTGTTCTGACTCTGTGTTAATCACATCACATCAGCCTAACCAGAACTGTGTCAAATCATAATGTAATTTTACAATGACAAGAAACTATTACAAATAGTACCATAGGTTTCACTTACGCTTCAGCTACAATTCAAAGTGGTTTTCAGGAGTAGTTAAGTAATTGAAGTAAAGGATAACCCAGTGATGTTAGAAACAAATTTAGCGATTTAGAGAATTTTAAGATTTTATAGCATAAGTCTTTATGTTGACAGAGTGCTCTCAGATTCCAAATTTATGTGTAGCTAATTTAAAGCTGATCTCTCTCTAAGAATTGTCTAACTCTGTGTTTAAAGTTCAGGAAAGGCCTATGAAATAAATAAAACTTGAATTTGCTGTTATGTCATGTTGTGGTGTACTTGTCCCTGCCATGAATCACGTGTATTTTAGTACCACCAGTTCATTGGCTGGTCATAATTGTGCATACTCAGACTTTACAAATGTACCTGATACAGATTTCATGTTCACGACCTGTATTTTAAGGAATACCTATGTCTGAGCAGTTGAATTTGCAGAAGAAAAATGCAAGCGTATTTAATTAACTGCTAACTAATTAAATGTAATTTAATTACTTGAATCTTGCATATTGGTAGGAAGGTGCAAAACATGAGATGGATCCATTTACCAAATAAAATGAAATGAAATTTTTTTAAAAAAATTAAATATTATTTTTGTGACCACCAAAATTCTGCTGTCTTTTCTATTCCAGAATCGAATGGAAGAAAGCAAAGCGCTCTTTAGGACAATTATCACATATCCATGGTTCCAGAACTCTTCAGTCATTCTGTTCTTAAATAAAAAAGATCTCTTAGAGGAGAAAATTATGTACTCCCATCTAGTTGATTATTTTCCAGAGTATGACGGTAAGTATAATGACATCAGAGCTCATGCTTTGTTTACACTGCAGTAGTGACAAATTGTAATAGCCTTGTCCAAATGCTAGACAGATAGATCTTTTGAAAAAAAGAAAGGTGCTTTGCACTTTTTAATAATCTAAATTTGAAAAATATGATTGAACTCTTGGGGGTCGTTTTAGACTGGTAGGATTGCATTTTACACTGCAATTTTGGGTAGGATGGCAGAACTGTTTATGGGAATTTATTGCCTTTCAAGATGAGCATTGTCATATTAGTGGTGAACCACATTCTGTACTTTTTCATAAGTTGGGATGAGGGTTTAAACTGAAGAATATAAACAAAAAAGACATAAAAATGCATTCCTCACTTTTACACATTGTCTCCCATACTCCTTGGCCTTTTGAGGTTTGGTTTTGTGTAAGGCTGAATATCCGAAGGGAAGTGTCGTAAGATCTCTGCGGCGCTCAGAGAAACCAGCACCATCCCTTACACCATTTTTTCCCTTTATTTTAATTTTGCGTTATTTATATGAAGTAAAAAGTGCTTGTCTGTAAAAAATAAGTAAATGTGGATTGTACAGATGTTTCTGCTAAAACTGTACCTTCAGAAAGTTCTCATAATGTAAAAAGCTGAGTATTTTGAGGTAACTGAGTAGAGGCCTTGGTCACAGAAAAATCAAACATATCAAGAGGTGTAAAGAACTAAATGCTCCTATTAAAAAAAAAACCACCAAAAAATCAGTTTTGTCCCACAGATTTGAAAGCTGAATAAAAGATAAAATCTCTTATGTTCAAATATGGAAAGTAATAATAGGACAGATGTACACTTTGTTTCCTGTTCAAGGGGAAGGAAACAAGAGAACAGCCTGCAGGATCAGACCATATTGGTTATGAATCAGTGTAAGTTTAGTTTTGTAGTGCTATGCAGAGGAGAAGTGGCAGTTGAATAGAAAATATGCTCAGTCTTTCAAGTTTAATTCGTTCCTTGGGTGACATCCTAAAGGTGAGAAGACTACAGGCCATTCCGTTATCACCACTGCAGTCGTGATAAAGCCTATGTTAAGTGCTTGTCCCAAAAAAACAGGCAAAACTCAGTCACTCATCTCACAGAAACGCTTTCTCCTGTTCACTGTCATCGGTGAGGGGAAGAAGATACTGTGGACTGGTAGGGCTGTTGAAGTCAAGGCCTGGAGGTCTTGATTCGAGAATCTGTGTCTCTTAGTTCTGCAGATCTTGCTGGACTTAACTCCGTAAACAAGTTTATGGCTTGATTTAATTTCTTCTGGAGGCAGGGACAGGTCTGCAGCTTGCAGAGCTCACCATGTAGTTGCCTTTTCTGTCCCAGCACACCAGGGATGTGAGAGGTGGGAGGACTGAGGAAGGAATCAAAATTAGGTATTTTTCAGCTGGCTCACTTCTCCCATCCATTTTCCTGCTCAAGGGAGAAAGAAGCGTAGGGATGAGAACTGCTAGCCAGGATGGCAGATTGGACAGTTTAAATTAAGCAGTTCTGATGCATGTTGTGTTGTAACAGCACTGGAAGGGGAACTGAGGTGTGCTTAGGGATCGATGGATGGCACAAAGACATGATTATTTGGCTAGGGCTAGAAGACTGACTCACAGACAGGAATGAAGAGGTGGGAGAGGGAGAGAGGACAAGGACAAAGAGGCCATAGTTAGGAAGAAGAGAAAAATACTGATGTAGTACTTCTTATATAGATCTTGAATCTATCATGTTGAGACACGCTTTGAAAACTGCTGATTAGGAGGCAGTAGACAAGAAACGTACAGTTTTATATGGCCGTTCTTTTCCAAGTCTCCATATTACTTCTTTCGCAACCACTTTGTAGTGTATATGGAGCATTGGTGTGTTGATTTTTTTTTTTCCGAAATTCCTGAGATCATAAATGTTCTTTCTAACCTGAATTATCCATACTTGTACTTCGGTCAAATGAAAATGTAAAATAAATGATAATAAGCAGAGGTGTGATTAGGTAAGTAAATCTAGATACCCACTTTGAATAGTGCAGTAGATTCTGAGAGTGTGCTGCATCTAGCTACTATGAAATTCTAGTAAAATTATAGGAAGTTGTTCAAAACAGTGCTTTATTTTGAAATAATCACTGTCTTTGAAAGTCTAAGAGTTTTCAGCACAAATAGCAAATCTATTCGTGGTAGTGTGAGACTTACTGTTGCTGCTGTTCCTACATAGTTTATGTGACTAGGCCAAAGTCTAGAGCCTTTATTGTGGTTTAGAAGCTGTAGAAGTGTTGACCAGTCATCTGTCCTGCTTCAGGGAGCTTATGATCTGTTTACATTCCTAAATCTCAGGAAATGTGACGTCTGTGTATATATAGACATGTATGTGCATATATGTTCACGTGCATGCACCCATATGCTGCTGAATGTTACTCCCCCTCCACATGGATTTGCAGCACACCAGAAAGTGTGTGATTTCTCTTCCATCCGTTATTGACTTAAATTTTATGGAGTTATCCAAACTGGAAATGCCAGCAATTTTAAGCCTGAAATATTGAAAAAAAGGTTTGTTATCCAGTTGTTGAAAAATACGTGGGCATGTGTTAACTCTCAAAGTACAGGTTTCGTAACTACTAAAGGGAAGAGCTGCATAAAACTATTGGGCGTTTATATTGCCATGTAGCAACAATGAAGAGAATAGGAGGAGGTAGCACAGAAAGCACATGTATTCTGTAGAAACCCACATTCCAGAAACAGGAGAACAAGGGAATAATGGCCTTCAGAAATGGCACTGCAGTAATAGAACAGTATCCAACAGCTTGTGGCTCATGTTCTTGCTTCTGTACTGCTCTTTTGGCTGTGAACCTGAATGAATCGTCGCTGTTCCAGGCTGAAAGTCATTACCTTCTGTCTTCTCTAAAGCTGAACATGTGGTTTGGTTACATAGACTCTCTGTCCTTCTGTGAATTACAACGTTAATTTACATCTCGTAGGATCATTATCATATGTAAGTTAGATAGTGATTTGTTAGAACGTGAGCCTTCTGTAATCAAACAGATTCGATGGGAAAGCATGTGCGTTTTATCGTCACTGAAGTGAATGAAGTTCTATTGATGACGGTGTCAGACCAGTTCAGAATGTAACTTCCTCATGCTACCTGTTAAAATCCTCCTAAGTTTTGTTGCAGTCCTAGAAGAAACTAAGTATAATTTAAATATAGAACATTCAGCAATTCTATTAACATTTTAAAATATTTATTAGCATGGCTAATTTTTCATTCCATGCAGCTATAAATCACCTGTTTTAAACATTATCTCACTGAAGAAAAAGAACAGTTAGCAGGAAAACAGGAGCTTTAACGTGATAGCTCTAACCTGAACTTCTGAAATTTCCTTCTGTCTTTGTTTTTCATAGTTCCTACCAGGAAGAAAGTAGCCAGTATATGATAATATGGATTAGTAAAACCTTCCCTGTCTTATTTACATGAGGACCACAGACTGAGCATTTCTTGCTTTCTGCTAAAGAAGTTTGAATGTTGAACTGACTTCAGAAAACTGACTTTCTCTTCTTGATTATAGGACCACAAAGGGATGCACAGGCAGCACGAGAGTTCATCCTGAAGATGTTTGTAGACCTGAATCCAGACAGTGACAAAATTATCTACTCCCACTTCACATGCGCTACAGACACAGAAAATATCCGCTTCGTCTTTGCTGCTGTCAAGGACACGATCCTACAGTTAAACCTGAAGGAGTACAACCTGGTCTAACTGTGCCTAAGAGGCCCTGCAAAACCAACTTTGCGTGATTGAAGATAAACAAGAGGGACTGTATTATCTGTGAAAACAATTTGCATAATACTAATTTATTGCCGGCCTGGACTCTGTGAATGTCCACAGAGTTTGTAGTTAATATTATGATTTTATTTAAACTCTAACGAGGAAAACCAAAAGATGCTGAAGTACATTCACAGCACATTTCCTCATTTTTTAGGCAAAACCTTGTGACTCATTGTGTTTTAAATTCTCAGTCGTACATTTACAAGGGATAGCAGTTTTTTGCTACTGAAGCAAAATCAAGCTGGTTTCCTTTCCCTGACTGTGTCTCTCTCCCTCCTTCCCCTCCCCTCTTATCTCTTACAAGGTACAATGGCCTTTTTTTTCCCCCCACCAGTTGCATTCCTGGGTGAAATATTTTCTGTTGAGTGATTTGGTCAGGAAATACTATCATCGGTGTTTTAAGTCATCAGTCATTCTAATTTTACATTATGTACTTTGAAGGATCAAAAGTATGGAGACTGTGGTTTTTAACTTCTTGACATTCGTGTCTTTGTTCTGTCTTCACTTTTGAGACTAGAATATTGGCATTGCAAAACATAATTACAGCTGTCTAAGGATATTAAATTTAACCATATTTTCATAGTTTGGAAAGGCGCACAGGAGACAGTAGTGAAATCAATGAGAGACAACCTGGGATATATGTTAGAATCTCTTTAATTGCTATGTGCCATTTTTTTTCTCTCTTCTTTTACTCACAAATGCCAAATAAAAATGTCATAGACACTACATTTTCCCCAGTGGCTACAGCCTGAAACAGTGGGGGGTTTTTTTCAGTTGTGTGGGATTTTTTGTCTTAATTTAGAGCTTTTTTAGATGTTCATTTTCCACAGTAGAAAAATTATTTTTATTGTGTAAAATTAAAATTGCCAAATCCGGCTTTTTATAAAACCAGTGCTCTTGAAACATAAGATACTGATTGAAATGCCAGACTGATGGGTTGGGAACTGACTTGATTGAGTCAACTGCCAAAGGATACACACAGTTTCAGCTCATATGTTCCCTTTTTTAGAAAGTGTTCAATTTTCTAATGCCAAAACCAACAGTGTGAGTGTGCTACAAGGTGCACCATGCACATGCATGTGGTCTACTGGTGTAAAAGCAGTGTAAATCGCTTCTTATGTCTGATACGGCATGAGATTGTTTTCTGTAATAGTATCAAGGCACCTTTAGTTGTATAACAAGAACTTACCGATGAGAGATTACGTTCAGGAACCTTTCTTGACAGGGTTGCTTGTTGACTAACTGATTCACAGACATTTGATAGGCTTTCAAAATAGCCTCTCTCAGTGTTGTTTAGAAAAGATTTATTAGTGTAAATGAAACAGTGAGAAAATAATTCTTGAAATTTAAATGTGCAATTTTTTAACAACAAAAATGCAGCACACATTGATGAGCCTTTATTCTGCAGCTTAGGTTGAGAGGTGTTTTTTGACCAGATGCATGACTGCTAGCAAGCTATAGAAAAAACTCAGAGTTCGTAGATGTAATTGGATTGATTATCTGCAATGCCAAGTAGCACTAGAGTGCACTTAATGCAGAAATTGCTGCCTCATAGAAGTGGATGGGAGGTGGAAGAAAGAATGGCTTATTAGTTGATTACCAAAGTTAACAATAAATACTAATGAGGCGTTTTTCATCCTTAACCCTCCCAACTCCGAAACAACAATAATAAGAACAGTTGCTATTTTTTGCTCCCTCTTAAAACACCTTGTAATTTAAAACTGGTTGTAGGTATAGTGCAATTATGAATGCTATAATCGTTGTACATACATCTATATATATATATGGCAGCATCCATATTGGCTTTGTAATCATTAATTTTTGGCAAATTGAATGTGCTGTATTGATATGTATCTATGTAATTGTATTGTATGTCTTATAGCTAATTCACATTTTAAATAATGTTATTTTATTTACTTTTTTAAGAGAGAAGAATGTAAATTTTGTCAGTTTATTTCTGACTAGGGATTTGTTGTTGTTTTTTATTTACAAAACAAAAAAAATAGTACAGAGCGGTACTAGCATCGTGCTGTATAAAATCATTTGCACATTCCTAAGTAGAAGTAAATTGGAAACACCCAGACAGAGGTCATTCACATTCAAAGTAATGCTTAAATCTTGTCAGGGCTTTATACAGGTGTGGAAACCTGTCTTACTAGAATAACTTGTGCCAGGATTGGAATAACTTGTCTAGGATTGGAATATAGGCTTTTAAATATAAATTTAATTTTTATTTGGCAGATTCATATTAGTTTACTCTTCTAATAGGCTTTATTAGAAAAGTAAATTTAGAGATACTTCAAAGCATTGTACATAAATACTAATCAGTATATGCTGTTACCCTAAAAATACCATGAAAAAATACAGATCAGATCAATCAGTTAGCCATTCAGAAACTGCAGAAACCTTAAGATGTAACAACAACAACCAAAAAGTCACTATTGTTAATGATTTTAAGGAGTTAAAGCATTTTATTTAATAAAGCTAAAGCAGGTAGATCTAGGTTATGAAAAGTAACACTGACATTCCAAATAGGGGATCAGAGCAGTGGCTTACATACAGCATCACAAAATTGGAAGGGAACAGAGCTGCTGTTTTCACATTTCCACTGCTGATAATGTCCGTTCTTTTAACTTGGGAATACATTACCCACACTGGATTCAGTGCTATAAATGGAACTGTAGCCAAAAAAAAACAAAAAACCACTCCACCAGCCACTGGTGTCTAACAAAAGGCTTGGTTTTGTTTAGTTTGTTGTGTTTTTTGTTAATTTGTTTTGTTTTCTTATGGGGATATTGGGTGGGGGAAAAGGAAGCGTGGTTCTGAGTTTTGTATAAAAAGAAAACAAAAGTTTACTCATGCTTTATGGTTATATTGTGATTGCAAAAGTTTTTCAAGAGTGTATGCCACTGGGCTGCTTCTGATATATATTAGGTAAGTTGAACCTGTGGCAGCGTTTAGATCATTTAAGCATGTTCTGAAAAAAAAATAATATTCGGCATGCCAAGACAAGCTTTTACACGAGTCACCTAACACAGCAGTGCAGTGTGACAGTTTACAAAAACATTTCCTTTTTAAATTACACAGCTGTTCCCACTTGCAGTATATTCTGTTGTGGTGGTGGTGGTGCTGTTGTTTTAGTTGATGGTTTCTACTATGCCTTACAGTGCTTGAGTCCAGAAGTTTGTGCCTCTAACGTGAAGCTGAAGGCAAAAATATCAAGACAGAAACCCTTTTAATTTTGCCAAAATTACATGATTTCTTTGAATGTCGTTAAGTGGGGGAGGAGGGAAGGAAAATGTCCTGGGAACCTATATTTTAGATGTTCACTAGCACAAGAAAGCTGTAATACATGTTTTACAAAAACCTTAAACTTGCCTTTTTCACAAATTAACTGGCGCTGTCCTTACATATATAGTATGATGCAGCTATAAGGGCAGTTTACTTTTTATAATTCAAACTCTTTTGATTGTCAAGGTATATGGACTGTAATTTTTAATCATACTGCCACATGATTTTGAATCACTTTGTTAAGTTTGAAGGTGGAGAAGAGACATTTTATGCTGGATATCAGTCAGGATTGACTGCACGATTTGCAAAAACTCTAAATGGGGGGAAAAGGGCTGCATATAAAGACATAGCTAGGCTCCCAGGCTTTGGTTTGTAAAAGGTGCAGAAGACTTCCAGATTACTCAACCTCATGACCCTTTTCTTGTTACACATGCTTCAGGAAAGAACGAAATACTAGGAGAAAACAAAAACATGTTAACCCACATGAAAAAATAAAATTTAGCCAATTAATTTATTGTATGTGCTGCTGTTCTTGGAGCTCTGTGCATGGTTATCGTGTAGACGACGACAATTAGTGAACTCATGAAGTGTGCACAGCATTAACAAGGCCTACAAATGACCTACCTCTAGCTAAGAGACCAGTAAAGTGAATAGATTTTGGAGAGAATGTCACAAGTTAGGAAATTAAAATGTGCTGGTGTAGATGATTAACTACATTATTGTAGAAATTCACACTTTTGTAAATACAGTCTGTCTTTTGACATAAACCATAAATTCTGAAATTTAATCAGCTAAAGCCATCTGTCCCTGTCCAGTTTGTTAATTTAGTAGAGATCTTGCAAAGCCATATGGTTAGTTTGAGAAGAGGACCTACTGGTATTTCCTCTCTTTTGGCTTTTTGTTACACGTAACATTTTGAGTTTTATCAGTGAAACCAGAAACATTTCTATGTAGTCAACAATACATTGGGGCTCACTGTTTATCTAGTTAAAGGGATTTTACGCTTTTAAGATTCGCTCGAGCTTTTCACAGTAGCAATGCTGCAGGGAAGAAATGAATAGAGGGAGATTTTGAAGATAGTCTGAAAAATACAAAGTCAGCCAGATCAGTTGGACTGTAAATTTATTGGTTTGGGTTTTTTCTCTCAAGATGCAGTCTAAGCTGAAGTCTGTTGCTGGATTCCTCATTTACTATGCTGCAGGAAGTCCTTATTTGACCAATTTTTTATTTTTTTGAGAGGAGCGTCAGATACATTTTTAAACCTGCAGTATTTAAAAATAAAGATCGTATGTGCTGTTCTTAAAGTGTCATTTAAATGCATGTATTGTGTGTTGTTTGAGGGACAGAAATAGGGTTTTTTGGAAAAAAAAACTAACACTGTACAGCTGCTGCCCCTCAGAAATGTTGCTGGTTAAAAATACAGTAATTTTGGCTATAACTTTGTATTATAGTATCTTCATTCTTTGAAATTTAGCTTTCCTGCAATATTATTTGGGCTATTCTCCAAGAATGCTTCTTACTATGATAAATGTTGGATGGATGCATTATTCCATCATTAGTTTTTGATTATATGTGCTCTGTTGTCGTTGTCTATATATTAAATTTGACAGAATATCTTTATTACAGCCAGAATGTTCAAAACATTTAAGGTCTGTTACAGTGGAGACAGTCATTTGACAGTATTATTAAAGGGGGTTTTGGGCTTGTGTACAATGGAAACTTGAAAGCATGGGGGGAAATAAATACTAGCCTATATCTCACTAACAGAAAACTTGCAGAATTTATAGATGGTGAGGCAAATTTCTGAAGTGTTTGGTCTGATTGTTGTAGTACTGCAACAATACTACTGTGGTACTGGTCCTTTGACCTTTTTTTGCCTATGTGAAAGGAGTAACGAGAAGATGTTGCTTTTCAGGAATCTGGCTCATATCTGATGAACAGTCAGTGGATCTCAAATCTTCATTACTGAAGAAATAGAATTTCAGGCGAGTTGCAGAAATGAGTTTGTTTTCTGTTTTATGATCACAGCAATTTAAGATTCCTGGAGTCTATAAACAGTTTACCTAAGCAAGAAGTTGAGTGAATGGTTCCTGTTTTTTCTTTCCTGTTTCAGAATGTAAGGGAGAGAGATCA